GTAGAAGAAATAAACAAATCTACTAAGTCTTTTTGCCTGTAAGCACCCACTCCTCGAGAAATGTATTGATGACTACGTGATCTTAATTGGCCTAACCACACTCGCAACAAATGTCGGACACGTTTAATCAGTATTATTCAGTCCGCGGCCACCCATGCAGCCTGGGCGGGGAGACACTAAATGAGAGCGGTGGGCTTCAGATTTGTGTCATAGTGTGTCCAACCAATGTCTCGCATAATGGTGATAAATGCATAGTTCACATTATAAATATCGTTAGCGTCGCACGGCGTTAGTGTGTGAAATCACAGCTTCATCTGTGTTTATAACCCAACTTGTATGAATGTTTAATGCTACTATAAGAGGCCAAAATTTGAATTTTGTTATGGAAAATAAGTTTTATTTCACGTTATGTGCTATTTACTTGAGCTGAACCATAGATTTGCATACTAAAGTAGTTGAATATGACATAAATAGATAATAACGAACTTAAAAACAGATTAAGAAAATTACACAGGTATTTTGCCCGTAACGGTTCTTTATTTTATATCAAACAACAGGTTCTTCAATTAATTAAGAGGGCTGAGAATTCTTATAAATGATATTTTTTTTTCTTTGTTAAAATTCTTTTTTTTTATGAAACTTTGATCGACCGCTTAAATAAACATATATTGTAGGGATTTGTGAACCAGCAACATCTGAACATGGGAAGAGGGGTTTAGAGAGGGTGCTAAAACAATCATCTGCTTTCAACAATTAAGTATTTTTTATAATAAAAACCCATTATTGAGTTTTAATGAAAAAAAAAAAAACGGTGTCAGCATTCTGACACATATTTTCTCCTATAAGCTCATCAAACACCTTTATCATGGGTAAGCGGTGAGAATTAATATGATATTTTATAGTTAAAAATCACAAAAGTTTCAATAATTTTGAACCGTAATTGTTACAGCAATTAAACAATTAATGACAGTGTTGTACTATTTTTTTTTAATTATAAGGACCATAACATATTAATTTAGATCAAAACCAGCTTTTCTCCATAAGTCCGATTTTTTACGTTATTTTATGATTTTTTATGGTAAAATAACATAAATTACAATAACTTTTAAACCGTACTTTTAACGGAAATGGGATTTATACCATTTTGTTCACAATTTAAAGGACTATGACATACTATTTTTTTTTTTTTTATCGTTCGGGGCATTTTCGACAAAATCCGATTTTTCTTGAGTAACCGTTAAGATTTACTTTTTACAATATGTATAAATAGAAAAGCAATAAAGGAACTGAAAATCGCCTTATTATTTCCGAGTTACAAGTAAAGTAGGTTACTGTTAATGTGAAAATATTCGCATGCAAACTGAAATTGAGTTTTGTAGATTATGTGACAAAGAATTAACATGTTCATGAGAAAAACAGGAAATATTCCGAGAATAATGTAAACAATAACGTCGTACTAGTCCGAGTCAGCGATGTCTACTTTAACGTGTCGTAACACTTCGGCCCAAGTAACACTTCGGCCCAGTAACATTTCGGCCCGAAACCCTCAGATGTGGCCTACGGTCCAACTCTCTACCTGCCCACTAGTAACACTTCGTCCCAACAAAATATTTGACAGGTTAGGTTAGGTTGCGTTAGCTATTACCGTAGTACTCATGGCAACACCTGGACCCGGGACCGATGTAATTTTTCGTTTTGAGTCCCTAGAGGCCAAAAACACCATCCGTTCAAATTCATATATATGTAAGTGTATAAGACATTTTGGGGACTTGACTTTTTAGGGTCTCAAGAATTTATACGAAAATACACTATTGCAATATTTTGAGGACTTGGTTTATTAATTTAGTTAGTTTTTTAGTATTAGTCATTGTTTCTGTAAGTATTCTCTATGTTCGTACCCCAATGCGATATACAGGGTGATTTGCTGTTTGGTTAGGTTAGGTTAGGTTAGGTTAGGTTAGGTTAGGTTAGGTAAGATTCCACCGATTCTCCGTCATGTGAGGTCAGAGGATGCAAGGGGTGACGGTTGGGCGACATTCCACCAGAGGGTGGTTGCAAAGTATACAGGTCATGTACCTCTTACTACCTGAACTGCGTTCCTCAACCCTTGTCAATTTTTCGTCGGGCCGAAATGTTACTCCATTAGCTTATTTAATCATCTGTAAAAGCGAGTGGGACGAAGTGTTACTGTTTTTCTAAGAAATTTGAGTTTGGCCGAAATGTTACTGGGCCGAAGTGTTACTACATCTACTTTAATTGAGTGATATACTCATCCTAAACTGTGACGAATCCTTCCAGCCTACGGTTAATTAATACGTCATTAATAGGCTGGTTATACATGTCACAAGGGTGATCTACTGCCTCTGTTAAAGAACAATTGAGAATATGGGGGCTTATGGCTTGGGGTCATGAGGAGGAATGTTTACTGTTTAGTGAATATTTTGTCATTATTGTATGCAATTGGATAACGTATCAAACTAAACTATGACATTCGTCCTCAAGTAATTGAAACCATTGTCCGTATTCAAATAAATGTGAAGTGCATGGTTGGTATTTTATCAATATTTCTTTTTGTAAACCAGCTGAATCAGCTTTTGTGGACAAGAGTACCGTCCTCCAAATTCAAAAGTGAAAATATATAATGCTGTTAATATTTTACAATGGTTCAGGTAACGACTAAACAAACAAGTTTTGGGAATCTGGTTTTATAAGAGTTTTTAAAGTAGTTTTACGAGAAATTCCTTAGACATTGATTGAGGAAACCCACGAATATTAGCAATCAATCTATTGATTGAAAATTTGAAGTGCCGTAATCAAAGCCACAGCCAACTATTACTATTTTCAACAAACTTGTTCAGTAATTGCAGTGTATAGCAGTAAGTACTCGGATAGGTACAATCCTGTTAGCCATTGCAGATGTGGTTTTTTGCATTATACCCCTTTCAATTTATTCCGTTTTATTGTATACATTTTAGGAATATAACAAAGGGTTTTTACAGAAAATAAAAAAAAACCTTCGAAAAGATAGATAATATAATAACATTTATTTCCCCTTTATTTAAAACCTTTTTATAAGCTTGGACCACTAAAATATCAAAATTACGATTTAAGCTTTCTTAACTGTGTTGTTCTGAAACTTCTACCAAACCCCCAGGAGAGAAAAACTCACTTTCTACACGACACGCCTCAAATGCTCTCTGGGATGGACCAAGTTGAATGATCCAGTGCTGATAAAGGCCCAAAGATAAATTGGTTTTGTGGACAGAAACAAAGTTGTGAGAAGGTTATGACAAGTTTGCTGCGACGAGTGACAACTTTTAACAATCAAACTCCGATACGAGTTGACCAACTTACTTTGTTACACGGGAATATTTCTATTCTTCGCACTTTTCTGTGTGAGTGTTTTATTTTAGGTATTTTCTAAGATCATGATTGATTTAATGTAGTTATTATGAGTGATAGAGTAACAATATGTGTGAGGGGTGTGGTACTTTTTGTTCATAGTTAATTTTTCTATCTAAAATATTAACTAAAACCCTAAGGAAGCGTCAATCAACTACCAGCGGTCACAGCAATTTATGGACAATTTATAGCAATTTATGGAGAGAATCTTTAAATATTAGATAAGTTGGTTTACCATGTAAAACTGCCTTATTATATTTGGATAAAAGTAAACCTAAATGATTAAACGTATCTTAACCCAGCAACTAGATTTAATCTCGAAGTTAATATAGACTACCGTACGTTAAAATAAAAATTATTGAGTTGTTGAAAGTACTACGATTTCTAAAACTACTTTTGATTTCGGATTTTTTTTACAGAATTAAAAAAATTGTCATTGATGCAACTATACTTTGAAAAGTACTAACCCAGTCCATTATTGGTTAACAATGGTAGTTCAACTATACATGGTTAAGTACAAACTTATGGTGGTGTATTGGATTTCAGTTACCAGTAACTAAATTCTAGACTTTACCTTCCATACAGTAGCTTATGAACACAGCGGTGAAAAATTTAAGTAGTACATCATTAAATAGAATTCCTGACCGGATATCTAAGACAATTAAGTAGGCAGCTGAATATGAGCCCACTGTAATATGAGAACATTAAGTCATCGTGGTGAGGGCCCTCTTAACTGGTTGATATCATTTTAATAGAGACATCAAGGGGTTAGAATGGATTCGTCTCGAGACCAGCATACATATTACTAGTGTTCCTGATGGAGGAAGTGGACAGTTGAAATATGTACTAATTGAGGAACAAATAATGACACGTTGTCATACACAATCGAAGTGAGTAGGCGAGTATGAGTATGAGCAGTTATGTAATCAATGTATAAGCGAAAAAGAGTAAAAGCAAAAAGTAACATTTTAATTTTAATTTAAACAGAAAGATAAATGATCGTGCATTTCGATTTTTTATGTGCATTGATTTTGTGGCAATGATAACGAATAGGTTTATGAAAGTAGCTAAAGTGGTTTAAAATCAACCATAATTAAATCGTGTAAAGAATCTTTAGCTTTTTTGTTTTTCTATATTAGTACGAATAAAATTCTTGTTCATTTCCAATGCATAGCTAAATACATATGCTGTCTTATTGTACATTATCTCACTTTCAGTGTACACTGTATTATTTAACATAACTCATTAAAATGATAACATTTCTCGTTGTAAATTATTTCGTTAAATATCCAATGATTGTTTCCAACAAACTATGTTTTTATATTAAAATACTAAATATGAGAACTTCTAACTGATAACATAAAGAGTTTAAAAATAAAATGTCAGGTTCTTTGGTCACTAAAATATTTTTATTTTGAAAACGTCTTCTCCATTATGTAGGCCTACTTGATAGCAGAAATGCTGAAACTTGAAAGCTTTGACCCTCTTAAGACCGACATGCATAATGATTTACTTGCTGATTTTTTTATTAGAACAAACGGGCGAAAATATAAATTTGAGTAAAAATGACGTAGGAAAATAAATAAATACAACGCTAAAACTATCTCTACTTAAGTAACCCATTGATTACTTTGATTAGTAATTATAAGTATATCAACATTTCTTGGTCACTCATAACATGTAGCACAGGAACATTAATTTTAGTATCCTACTTCAAAATAGTCCTTGTAATTCGGGTTTATCTTCCCCTCTTTGACGTACAATCGACAAAACTCTGTAAGTATTTCTTCGAACATTTCTGGCATTTCTTCAACTGAAAGAAGATAAGACATAAATAACACTGGAATAAGACTGAATTGAAACATAAATGTTTCAAATTGCCGATTCAATGAATTATTAGTACGAGTTATATTTCATATATGTATTAAATGAGTACCTATTGTATTTACTTCTACGTAACTAACTATATTTATAAGCTGGACATTTTGAAAAATCTCTTATAGAACGGAATTAATTTTAATAGTCTGACAAAGCTAAAACTAAAACCTGTCAATTTTAATAAAGCCTGAACAGATATAATATTTTTTTTTCATTCCAACGGCAATACTTTAATTTACATTTAGATACACCAGGTATTACTAACAGCTACATGACAAAACAAACAAACAATAGAAAAATAATTGCAAGAAATTAGCGGATTAACTTTTTTGTAAACACTGGTATATGAATACTTACCAGCCCAATTTCCTATAAACCCAACGACAAGAGAGTTCGGTACATAGTCAGACGTTGGCGACACTTTCTTTGCAAATCCCCGACCTTCGTAGACGTTTCCATCTCCTCCGATGAGAAAACTGGAATTTAGATGTATGTAAAATAAACTACCACAAAACTTAGGGATTTTCATATGTTAGGTAAAAAACTATTATTAGTTTGTATTATAGAGAGCGTGCTTGTCTGCGGTCTCCATAGTCCCGGGCTGAACTCCCTCCAACCACTGATGAATTTCATCTAAGATATATTGACGCAATCCCTAGCCTAGCTTATAGAACATGTTAAATACAATCCCACAATCCTGATCCTTGTAAAAAGTGTATATAATATGAATTTTAAATTATAATTCCACTCTTTTTACACTTTAATATTATTTAGATTTTTATTAAACATGCTAACATACAACTATATTTTGATAGGTGTCTGATAATTAGGCCTAGGTATTTAAAGATATTGTACACGCTATAATGCCATTAGCAAATCCCTCCATATTCAATCCCTCTAAATACTTCAAAATAAGTAAGTTTTTCACCTTACAATTAGTTTGAATGTGAATAACCTGTAGTTAAATGCATGATGTTATTGCACTAATACCTTAACTGTCTTCAGCGGCCTGATCCCTTACTTGTAATTTATATCTGGCATCTTTTTTTGGTAGATGTCAACGATTTGGATCTCTTGCATTCTCCTTATACATTCGGATTTGGTGGTGCAGGGTTTGGTGTGTGTTCCATGAACCGCTAACACCTTCATGATAGGGTTCCATAGTTCTGTTCTCGCTTTGCTCTCAAGAGCTCCCCACTCAAACCTCGTCACCTCACCAAACGTCATCTAAGTGTGGACACAGATGATAAAGTTGCATCGGCTTCAAATCAAATCAAATCATTTTATTGGGCCAAATTAACAATTATACAGTTTGCATTAGCCAGGTCAATACAATTATGCTATACTATACATCAATTACTAATTCTAATATTTACAATAATTACAAATTAGAGCTTTCAAAACATTTCAGGCTTAATACTGTTATTAGCACTAATATCAATGACGATTGAGTGTTCTTTATTCCAAAAAAGAAGGGAAATGTTTAAATTTACAAAAGAAAACGAGGCAATCGGAAGTAAAGAATTTGGGTAAATAGAAATATGATGAAGCAAAATTGATGTGAATAAGAGAGAAGAAAAAATGATGAATTAAAAATGGAAAGAACATATAAGGGGAAGACCATTGAATGTTCAAAAAAAGAAGTGGAAATGATCCAAAGATTCTCAAACTTTGGAAGCCAATGAAGAAGATTCATAGGATCTAAATAGTTGGATGCAGTTTTTGGTGAGGTTAAATATATTCTTTAATATACATTGTTGGGAGTTTAAAAGTAAGTAATTAAATAAAAAATGAGAGAGCGGGTAAGAATGAGGCCTATAGTTTAACCTTATTTACCTACTAAATGATCAATAACATGTTTCATAAAACCAAGTTCACTTGAAACTAATCGATTAGTTTTTACATTAGACTCCCGTTGGTTCAAACGTTAAGAATTGGACGTTTACATAGTAAATAGAAAGATTTCTTTCACTTAAACACATTTATATAATCTCTAATAGTTACTAATTAGGTGTTTGTTGGACTGTAATCCAACTTAATGCTACTAAAAAGCACGTTTTGACATATTCTTTGCGACATAATTTTTCACCATATAAAAATTCAAATAAAACATTTACTATTGTGATTTTATTTCTCTTATGTGCGAAATTAAACGTGCAACGCACGCAAGTCTTGATATACAATGTGTTCATTGTTTAAGTAAACAATCGACTATTCTATTTTTTACCTCCACAGACAACACAATTCACTCACCTTGATAGCGTTTGTGTAACGTTACTTTTATCCCCTTAGTTTAAAGCACTACTAAACAAAACTTCTCATTATAAAATGGCTTGTGATAATAGTATCTCTAATATTATATATTAATTCTAACACGGATAAAAGTTGATAAGGGTGTGAAGATTATTGTTAAAAGATTCAAGCAGTTCACAACCGATCAGATATAAAAAAAAATAGTATGACTCTTATTTTACTTTAGATTACAAGTTGTTTGAAAAAAAAACACTTTGTTATGATATAGTTTTCAAAGTAAACTTTTACAATTTTATGATCATTTAAGTGTTATGCATTTTTGTTAAGTTTTTCGAAAATATTGTTTATTTTACACAGAGATAAGAGTATTTATAAAGGTTTTCCTTTGAAAACTTCCTTTCTTAATTAAACCAATGATTGTTGCTGTGGGGTTAGGCCTATCTTTTGTACACAAACTAATGCAAACAAATCTTAAAACATTATATTATGCATGTTTTCTTTTACTTTAGCAGGTAAGTTGTTACCTGCGTTTTAGAACATTTAGAAAACAGATATCACCCCAATATAGGCTATCTTGTTATTCGTGCAATTCTTTGGCCCTAAATGTCATGTTTGTTTACTGTACACTATGCTCTTAACAGCAAAGCATTGCTGATAAGAGTGCAAGGAGCTTAAGAAAAAATGTTAAGGTTTACTAAATTGCGTTTTATTTTAGTCTACAAACCCATAAATGCAGTTTACTGTCTTGTTTCAAACTAAAACATTTGGTACAACCAGAGCTCTTCTAATTCCGTTAAAATTATACAGTTTAAGTTAAAATCACAGTTTACAACTTTGTTTTATCCTCCAGAATTCTCCATTAAATATTTCTTTTACAATATATCCATCTTCTACAGACTTCTTTATAAATAGATCAAGTGTTTTCTTTATTCTGCGGGGAAGCGTTAGTCCTGAAATATTTTTGTAAAAGTATTAGTTTTGTAATTCAGTACAAAGAAAACTATACTGATACAATTGTGTATAATTAAACTGTTATCGTTTTAGATTATTTAGAATAGGTATTAGAATTGACTTAATTCACTATAATTTATTTTGCAAAGTTTTTGTAAAAAGTATTATGCTCAGTTACCCTTCTAGTAATTTTTGTAAACATGAAAATTTTCCAAAATGCAAAGCATATTTCCTGACAACCTGACTCAAAAGTCTCGAATTCTTTCTAAAAAAGTTGAATACAACTAACTATTCATATTACTTAAAATATTTTGGGGAAAACTATCTGTGTACAATAATGCAACACCATATACAAGTAAAACAATTTACCTACAAAACCAAACGTTGTCATAGAGTTATGAATGATTTTCTGTTAAAGTATGACTTTGTTCACCATTATATTGTAAACTTTATTTATTACTAAAATCATTTATAAAGAGCGGGATTTTTAACCTTGAATTTGCTTGTCCGCTATGTCTTAACCATCCTGTGCATGGAACGCACTAAGCAAAGCAGGGGTGTGCTGATTCATACTGATCTAATAGTAAGTGGTGTCAATAGAACACGAGTCTCACACGTTGTTGCATTGATTTCCCACCACGGGCTCATTATATATTTTTACTATTTCATTTCTCCTCTCTCATGGAGCATCTAACCAACATTTTCTTTGCTGTACTCACTGTTGTATCTGCCGATACAGCCAATGGCGAGGGTGTTCCCAGTCTCCAGAGAATGGTGAGGAAGTCTGATGATCTTCTTGGTCCAGCCTAGACCTTCGTAAACATTTCCATCTCCTGCTATTACGAAACTAAAAAAATCATCGATCATGTTAAAATTTATTCGATCACATTCATTCTTAAATTTACTATTTTTAGGTATATTATAGCTTAACTCCGTCTAAAGGTTAAGGCCATTCCTCCCCAGCAAAAGTCATTGAAATTTTCAGACATTATTGTTCTGGTAAGAATAATAGTAGTAGGGAATGTATATGGATCTGGGTGGTTTTAATTCCTAGACTGAGGTGATCAATATAACCATTAAATCTTTTACTGAGGATTTGACACCGATCTACTGTAAGGCTAAGAATGTATATCAAATTGGCTCCTGATATTAAATGTATTCTATGCATCAGAAATATTAATTTCTGTAAGCCAGATCCTAAGGTGGTTTTACACAAAATGTATTTTTCCACCGTTACGTTTACTGTCAGTCGTTACTTGTAATAAATAAATGCTCTAGACATGTTTAACATTACAAGGGAAGTTACGAGTAATCAGTAATATATGGTCAATTGCATAAAAAAACATCAGACATAATGCATAAATCAAATAAAAAATCGTAATATTACAAAAACATCATAAAGCATGTGCATGCCAACTCAAGCAAAATTGTAAAATCTTATTACTGATCTTGACACTTATACAATTGTTGAAATTTACAAAAAAAGTCTAAACTAACTTGAGGTTTATGTCAGGCCACCCCAGATGTAAATGTCTCCTCTGTATTCCGAAGACAATTTTCTTGCAGGTCTTGGTCACCGTACATCGGTCCATGTTCAGGTCATAGATCACCCGTAGTTTCCTGACCGGGGTGTGCAGCGGACGATGGGCAAACCCGGGCTTCGCCCCCCACTGTTCCCGTGTAAAAAACTTCCACTGTTTCGTGAACATGTTACGAGGATCATCATCAGGGTCTATGATCTTATTATCGTCTTCTGAATCGTACTTTCTATAACTCGGAATCTTATCGTACGCTTTCTTCTTTTTCGGCATCCTGCTGGACTGTGAAAAGACGTAGTGGTGTATTATTATAAGATTCTGAGGTATTTTCTTAATTCGTAGAACGGTTTCCCAACTGACCAAAAATATAATTTTTTTAACTTGACATCTTGTTTTTGTATTTTAATAACATCTTTTTATAGTACACATATCATTAAAACAGATTCAACTTTTGACTTATTAAACTAGAAGTTAAAACTAATCTAGTATTTACTTTTTGTAATGAGCGATGAAGTAATTTAGATCAAATTAGATCAAACCTAGAAGTTTTATGTAAGATATTAAAACGCAATTAACAAAATACGTTGTGATTGAGATAAACTACCTCCAGATAAAATATAATTAAAGATTTTTACCCCTAAATGTATGAGTAAACATACCGTGTACAAGTACAAATTCAACTTAATTTACAGTTAATATGCTCAAATCTTCAAGTACTAATAAACAAATGGTCTAAAAAAACATATAAGCTAAAGAATAACAGTAGAGTAAGACGAAACAACACTTTTGTAACCAAAGCAACCTATCATACGAAGTGATAATGCACAACGTGCATGATTTCATAAGCTACAAATATAATATTTGATGTTAACATCAACACTGTATCTCTATTTTTAAGAACTTTGCTGGACATAAAAAAAACTTGAAAACTCAAATATAACATTTACAGTAGATGATTAAAATATTTACTTACTTTAAATCACTTTCCCGCTAGTAAAAAAAGCTGCAAATCACTCCTTAAAAGTTTTCAATCCTTACAAACCCGTGTATGACTCACAGTCTATTTAGAGTATGCAACAATATGTAACAATGGAAGGAGACTAACAATATCGGCAACACTAACCTTATTCTGATTAAAGATTATTTATGTAAAGTCGTTAGTTGATTTTCTAATGGAGATAAGGGCTTCAATAGATAACGAGTGTTTACAAATTAATATTTAGTAAAAGACTACATTGATAAATTCGTGGTGGTTACTAGGGTGTCCCGGAACTCTCTACCAATATTTTAGGGCATTGCTCCTGGGTGGGAAGCATACCTAAATATGATATTTAAATTGTCCTGAAGTGCTTAGTTATTGACACAGCCGCCATTTTGTTTTTTTCAGTTATTAATTTTTTTCTAAAGAATGGTTAAACATACAAAATGGAAACTTTGCACAAGCATTTA